CTCCCGGGCGCTCCGGGAGTCTCCAGCTATCAGATAGCGGCTCCCGGCCGCCCGGGAGAGAGACACTTTCTAGCAGAAGGGTTTACTCTGCTCGATCAAACAGAGTAAACCTTTCCCTGCTCTGTTTTTTTTTCCCGACATCGGAGCCGTTGGCTGCCGTCAGAATAAAAAAAAAGAAAAATCACCATAGGAATGCATAGCTACATTCCTATTGGCTATTTCAATTTGCAATAGCCAATAGCAAACTAGCTATTGCACCCGTCCACTGCCCACTATTCATAACTTGCTTTAAATCAAATGCACATGGAAGGGCTTTGCACAGTACAAAAGTACACACATTTCCTAGAACACTCATGCTCCAAGATGGAGGCTCTCATAGATTAGAGTTAGGACCACACTACACAGAGGGGCCTTGACTTGGCTTCCACATATATTGCAAAAGTAGTGCAACTAAAAACTCTGTTTTTAACCTTAGTAGTTAGACTACTTATTTTGCAGGCTGGCTGGTGAGTGTGCTGGAAATGTCTGTTTTTGTACTGTGTCCGCTGCATAGGCTAACCCCCCACGCCAGCATTGGGCCCATATTCAGCCTTGGGCACCAGGTGCTTTCTGCTACTGGCTGCTGTCCTCTGCAAAGGCTCCCCCCACCCCAGTGTCAGGCCCCTATTCAGCCTTGGACCAAGGCTAAATAGGGGCCCGACACTGGGATGGGTGGGAAAGCACTGCTGTCCTCTGCAAAGGCTTCCCCCACCCCAGCGTCGGGCCCTTATTCAGCCTTGGGCACCAGCTGGTTTCTGCTGCTGTCCTGTCCTCAACAAAATGTTCCCCCTTTACTCCAATGTCAGGCACCAAGCTCAGCAGCTGCTGTCCTCCCAGCCCCAGACGTCTGCTTGCTTACCGTTCCACAGCACTCAAGCAGCCTCCACTCCCACCTTGCTCTTCAATACCGCCCACTAAAAAGCAAGCTCTGCCCCCCTGCAAAGCAAAAAAAACCTTCCTGCACATACACAAGAAGGTACCAAATACCGCAATTGTAAAGGGGGGGGGGGGGCAGGGACAGGACCGTACCAAGTTCCTTCCAACTGTACTGTACGCCGCTGCGGTGGTGGACCCTGCAAGGGCCACTCACGGACACCAGTATCCGTGTACAGATATCTTGCCGATCCCTGGTCTATGCACTAACGCATGTCTGCCCAAAACCTTCAGTATAGGATTGCGCACAGATGCACGCACACATCTTTGAGACAGAGCGGGTTCTCTTTGTGATTGTGATCTATTGTAATAAGATGTTCTGCTTTAGTAAAAAAAAATCATAATTTCTTTGCACAATGCACATGGTTTCCTTGTTTTTTCACTAGAAAGCAAACATGTCTTTAGAGAGTGAGGGAATGAAGAGTATGGTGGTGAGAGTGATTAATTAGAGGATCAGGAAGCTGATGTACATACACTTGGAAACAAAGTGAAGACTGGGAGACGGGAACAGAGCCAAATGATATACATTTGATCCTGTAATAAATAGAAAAAAATATCCTGATGATTTCCTCTGAGAGAAAGAGGGTTCTTAGATATGGTTGCATTCTTGATGCAAGTAATTTGGAACAGTGTGTCAGATTGTTGCTGGGAGTATCTGGTCCATAGGTGATTAGTGAGATTGGAATCAAAGCATAATCCTGGAATAGGACCTGCTCTGTGGTTCACTACCAGGGCATCCTAAAAGCGTGCCCTTAACACCACTTTAGGCCTGCCCCTGCACCACGCCACACTGAGCCAGTCATATCAGTCTCTGTACAGAAGAGCTTACACTCTAATGTCCCCCCACAGTCACACACTATCATTATACATTTATATAGATCTGACATAGTGCTGTACAGATAACACTGAGTCAGTCACAATAGTCTCTGTACAGAGGAGCTTACACTCTAATGCAGAATGGCACCGGTTGTAAAGGGACTACAAATCGCAGCAATACACTTACACAGCAATGCAGAACAGTATATGAATTGGACTCTGGACTTAGTAACTCGCTGGTCTCAGGGCTTAGTAACACACTGGACTCTGGGCTTAGTATTGCACTGGACTCTGGGCTTAGTAACGCACTGGACTCTGGGCTTAGTAACACACTGGACTCTGGGCTTAGTAACACACTGGACTCTGAGCATAGTAACACACTGGACTCTGGGCTTAGTAGCGCGCTGGACTCAGGGCTTAGTAGAGTGCTGGACTCAGAGCTTAGTAACACACTGGACTCAGGGCTTAGTAGCGCACTGGACTCAGGGCTTAGTAACGTGCTTGACTCAGGGCTCAGTAACGAGCTGAACTCTGGGCTTAGTAACACACTGGACTCTGAGCTTAGTAACGCTCTGGACTCTGGGCTTAGTAACACACTGGGCTCTGGGCTTAGTAACACGCTGGACTCTGGGCTTAGTAACGCGCTGGACTCAGGGTTTAGTAACGCGTTGGACTCAGGGCTTAGTAACGCGCTGGGCTCAGGGCTTAGTAACGCGCTGGGCTCAGGGCTTAGTAACACGCTGGACTCTGGACTTAGCAACGCACTGCACTCTGGGCTTAGTAACGCTCTGGACTCTGGGCTTATTAACACGCTGGACTCTGAGCTTAGTAACGCGCTGGACTCTGGGCTTAGTAACGTGCTGGACTCAGGGTTTAGTAACGCGTTGGACTCAGGGCTTAGTAACGCGCTGGGCTCAGGGCTTAGTAACGCGCTGGGCTCAGGGCTTAGTAACGCGCTGGGCTCAGGGCTTAGTAACGCGCTGGGCTCAGGGCTTAGTAACGCGCTGGGCTCAGGGCTTAGTAACGCGCTGGGCTCAGGGCTTAGTAACGCGCTGGGCTCAGGGCTTAGTAACGCGCTGGGCTCAGGGCTTAGTAACGCGCTGGGCTCAGGGCTTAGTAACGCGCTGGGCTCAGGGCTTAGTAACGCGCTGGGCTCAGGGCTTAGTAACGCGCTGGGCTCAGGGCTTAGTAACGCGCTGGGCTCAGGGCTTAGTAACGCGCTGGGCTCAGGGCTTAGTAACGCGCTGGGCTCAGGGCTTAGTAACGCGCTGGGCTCAGGGCTTAGTAACGCGCTGGGCTCAGGGCTTAGTAACGCGCTGGGCTCAGGGCTTAGTAACGCGCTGGGCTCAGGGCTTAGTAACGCGCTGGGCTCAGGGCTTAGTAACGCGCTGGGCTCAGGGCTTAGTAACGCGCTGGGCTCAGGGCTTAGTAACGCGCTGGGCTCAGGGCTTAGTAACGCGCTGGGCTCAGGGCTTAGTAACGCGCTGGGCTCAGGGCTTAGTAACGCGCTGGGCTCAGGGCTTAGTAACGCGCTGGGCTCAGGGCTTAGTAACGCGCTGGGCTCAGGGCTTAGTAACGCGCTGGGCTCAGGGCTTAGTAACGCGCTGGGCTCAGGGCTTAGTAACGCGCTGGGCTCAGGGCTTAGTAACGCGCTGGGCTCAGGGCTTAGTAACGCGCTGGGCTCAGGGCTTAGTAACGCGCTGGGCTCAGGGCTTAGTAACGCGCTGGGCTCAGGGCTTAGTAACGCGCTGGGCTCAGGGCTTAGTAACGCGCTGGGCTCAGGGCTTAGTAACGCGCTGGGCTCAGGGCTTAGTAACGCGCTGGGCTCAGGGCTTAGTAACGCGCTGGGCTCAGGGCTTAGTAACGCGCTGGGCTCAGGGCTTAGTAACGCGCTGGGCTCAGGGCTTAGTAACGCGCTGGACTCTGGGCTTAGTAACGTGCTGGACTCAGGGTTTAGTATCGCACTGGACTTAGGGCTTAGTAATGCGCTGGGCTCAGGGCTTGTCACTTCCGGCTGGTCCGAGATCAGAACACCGGCGGTGCTGCTGGGGCCTCAGCCTCCTCCGAAGCCGCTGGATCGGCACTGCTGGGGCCTGGCGCTGCTGGGGCCCAACCTCCTCCCACGGTGCGGGGGCCCGGCCGCTTACACCTCCTTGCCTGTCACCTGTACGGCCATCGGCCGATACCCATGCAAGGGTCCGAGCCCCCCAGGCTGCCCGGGCCCCTCACATGAGTGTCGGCCGTACCTCCTGATGGCGGCCCTGTTCACTACTATAAGTGTTTTTGCAGCTTTATTTAAATTTAAAGCTATACAGGCATAAGCGTACCCAGTATTTTTCACATCCTTCAGCTCCTTTGCAATTATCAGTATGGGTCCTTGCTAGCGGAACCTATTCAATTGAACAAGGGCTACTGCATCAATGCAGAGTGACGCTGCATGTCTGCTTGATGCAGTGTCAAGCAAAGAAAATGCTTCCCAGAGCACTGTTGTATATTCTGCCATTTGTCTCAATAAACTTTTCATCCATAATCCAAAATCTGAAGCTCACTTTTCTTCAAATAATGCTTTTTAATGCTTGAGTATACATGTTTAACAAAAATCAAGATACAAAGTGCCTACCTATATTTAAATAAGGTGTCACATGTATTTTAAAACCCCTAATAGATATTTTGTGTCATGTGTAAATTACATTGTAGTGTAGTCTTCCCTAATAAATGAGACAGTGTACCAGTACCAGTAATAATATTACTGCTCCCTCTCACTGTGCAGCCTTGTTATCTGGCTTCACAGCAGAAAGCAGCAATTGAAAACATACCCTGGTGAAAGATTTATAGCCATTGTTTGTATGCAGCTGCACAGGGTCTACTTGAAGCCAATGGAAACACATTTGAGGTATTAAGAGGTTAACATCTCTTTGCTTTCTGCTTCAGAAAAAAGATGTAGCATTACAGAATGAAACAGTTTAATGTAGTAGGAGGATCTCAGTCTGGGAACCGCCTCACCAGTAAATGAGATATCTGATCTCAGGGAATAAGACAATCAGACTCTCTGTGAACTCCAATGAATGCTTCAATAACTGAATTACCTGTGGATATTACAGCCACACAAGGCAGTATATAATATTCCTCCCAGATGTACTTTTTTATTCTCATTGATATGACTAGCTGAATTTTTCCACTCTCTTCTGGTTGGTGTGTAAAGACGGAGAATCCAGAGCAGCGAAGGATGCTTTGTGGGAAATGAGTACGGCAACAGGAGAAGATGCAAACTTGTGTCACAAGGCAATCCACATTGTTAAAGATCTTTGCAAGAAGCAAGTGGCCGACTTGGAACAGAGAACTTGCACTGAGTTTCTTTTGCTGTTGCCTTCAGACCAAAAGCTGCATATAACTGAGCCAGGTAAAAGAAAATCAATTGCCTATTTATATTGCCTGTGTGTTTAATAATGCAGTCTCAGGTAGGATTACCTATTGTAGCTAATTTAGTGATGTATTTCAGGCAACAATCACTAATACTATAATCTTATACAAGCATTGTATTAGTATATGAAATGATCGAATATACAGAAGCCATTTAGCTACTGCACAGTATTCACTAGTATATTAAAATTTCAAATGCAGTGTTAGAGGTGCTAGGAGGGCACAGGTTTAATATGCTCCGAATAAGGAAACATCCATCCATGATGCTGAATTCTTACAGGCTAGAAGGATTGCAGGACCATGGATAGCGGTGAAGGCTGATTTACTTGCTAGGAGTAGCAAGTGCAGCAGTGATGGGCACGCAGCAGTGAATTCTGCAGCAACTACAAGTTTTAAACAAACCTTTCTATGGAGTTAGATTGTGGTGACATTTTTCATGCTGTTTGCTGCAGTCTTTGAAATCCAATTTACACATACTGTATTGTATTTTCTGCAGCATTACTAAATTTCAAAAATGGACTGTACCTTTAAAATAAAGTAAAATAAGAGAACTTACAGTGAAGTTCACTGCAGAATAATATAGACATTTAAAATAATAAAAAAATAATTTTATATATA